CACCGGGGGCCATTGGACCCCCCTTTCCTGGGCACAGGGACCCCCTCGATTCCCTATCCCACCTATCCCAGTCCCAGCCCCCCCTTTCCTTGAACCTTGGAACCCTTCCTGGCTCTCCCAGCTCTCCCAGTTCTGCTTCCTTGACCCTTGGACCCCCCAGACCCACCAATCTCTGTGACTCCCCCAGTTCTCCCCTCCCTGTGCTTCCTGCAGGGGGTTCCCAGGCACCGGGAATGCCCTTGATGGCAATTCCTGGGCACTGGGTCCCCCCTGAACCTCCACTGCCTGGCACTGGGACCCCCTGAACCCCATTCCTGGCACAGGGACATCCCTGAACCCCATTCCTGGCACAGGAACCCCCTGAACTTCCATTTCCTGGCACAGTGACCCCCTGAACCCCATTCCTGGCACTGGGACCACCTGAACTTCCATTCCTGAGCTCTCGGACACCCCTGGACCCCCATCCCCAGCTCCAGGACCCAATTGAACCCCCTTATCCTGCACCAACACCCCCCCGAACCCCCTTTCCCAGCCATCCTACCTCTCCCAAACCCTCCTTTTCCTTGACCTGAGATCTCCTGGACCCCCACTCACACCTTTCCCAGCCCCCAGACCCCACTTTCCTCTACACTGAGGACTTGCAGGACCCCCATTCCCAGAAATCCTGGATCTCCCGGTCCTGTGACACTTCTTTCCTCAACACTGGGGACCCCTGGACCCCCCTTTCCTGGGCACAGGGACCCCCTGAACCTTCATCCCATCTCTCCCAGTGCCCTCAACCCCCTCCCCTTGACCCTGGGACTCCCCTGAACCTCCATTTCTTGTAATGGGGACCCCTCTGCACCCCCTGATTCAGCACCCAGAACACCCTGACCCCCCCTTCTCTGAGACTGGGATCCCCTGCACACCCTTATTGGGACCCCCCTGAACTTCCATTCCTGGACATGAGGACCCTCCTACACCCCGTGTGTGGCAGTAAGACCCCCTGAACCTCCATTCCTGTGCACAAGGACCTCCCTGCACCCCCTTATCCTGCACTAACACCCCCTGCATTCCCTTTCCCGGCCATCCCACCTCTCCCAGACCCCAGACTCAGCTTTTCCTTGACCCTGAGACCCCCCTGGACTCCCCATCCCACCTCTCCCTGTCCCTGCACCCCCCTTTCCTTGATCCTGGGACATCCTGAACCTCCATTCCTGGGAATGGGGACCCTCCTGAACCCTTTATCCAGCATTGAGACCCCCCTACAGCAAATTTCCCGGTCATCCCGCCTCTCCCGACTCCCAGATGCCCCCTTTTCCTTTATTCTGAGACCCTCTGGACCCCCATTCTTGGCCATCTCACATCTCTCCACCCCGTGACCCCCCTTTCCTCAACCCTGAGGACCTCTGGGCCCCTTTTCTTTGTCAGAGGGACCCTCTGGATCCCCCCATTCTACCTCTCCCAATCCCTGTATCCTCCTTTTCCCTGATGCTGGGATCTCAATCCTGTGCAGTGGGACCCTGGCCTCCCCTCCCCCAGCACTGACACCCCCTTCACCAACTTCCCTGGGATCCCCAAACCCCCTTCCCGGCTCTCCCAGCTCTCCCAGTTCCCCCTTTCCTTGACCCATGACCCCCCTGGACCCCCCAAATCTCTGTGTCCCCCCAGTTCTCCACTCCCTGCGTTACCTGCAAGTGGCGGTGACGGAGCCCAGCCCGGGGGTCCCTCAGTTCATGGCACTGGAATACCTGGATGGGATCCCCATCAGCTGCTACGACAGTGAGCGGGGCCAGGTGGAGCCACTGACGCCGTGGATGGCGGCTGGACCTGAGCTGGGATATTGGGATGAGGAAACCCAGTGAAATGAGAGGAACCGGCTCATTGATGCCAACCTGGAGATACTGCGGGACCGGTACAACTGGAGTGGGGGTGAGTGGGGGGAGCCAGGGAATGGGGGGATGTGTGGGGCTGGGATGGGATGTGTGGGGC